TTAAGGTGACATAATTTGTTGATAGAAGACCTAGGGAAAAAATCCAATTTTCTCCACCATCCCCTCCTATAGTGAAAATGAAGGTAAAAAGTAACTAGCAAATGTGGTTATTAATCTGGTCAAAAAGAGCTATCATCTTTTATCAAGTCCTAGTGGTTCAATCAAGGCTCTGCAGTAGTAGATTTTAAAGAAGGATCTGTGTGAGGAACTAGTGACTCCACCCATCACTCCCACACACCCCCCCTTCCTCTCTGTCCTACGCCTCAAGGTGGGGTTATCTTCAACCCTTCTTAGGAGTAAAATTGTGAGGACAGATTAACTTCTTACAAGGGTAGGTTATAAAAGGACAATCAAGTTGAACTAGACTGAGGAAAACTGAAATGTTTTTGTGTCTACTTCCATCTGTAATGAATGACTTTAAATTATTTAAATGAATTTAAATTAAAAAATGTTAGCTACAGAGTCACCAGAAAACCTAGTGGATACCACCAACTAGAAAACAAACACTTATACCATAACTTAAGCCCTGTTAAATACTGTTAGGAAGCAGTATTTATTCTTGCCTGACTTTCACTTTAGATGCAGAACAAATCACAGTCATGGACCAAATCATAGAGTCAGATCCTGGTGTTCTTCAAGAAGTTCAGTCTAGTTCAGCAGAATATAATAGCAGAATAATTTAAAGAAATTTCACTAGACTGCTAGTCTGGGGAACTGGACTCTTCATTTAAATAGCAGAACATCATCTAATTGCTTCGGACCTCAGGGTGTTTGTAGATGGCTCCGTGGGCTGCTCTACCTCCCATATCCCTTCTAGTTCTAAAATTCTTTAACACAGCATTATCCTATAGAGCTGACTTGTGATCCAGTGGTTAAATATTAGCTGTTGTCATTCAGCCACATTGTACCTTTCTTTTACTGTCTGCAGATCATCTTGGGGCCTGTGGAAAGGACACTAGAAGGGGCTTGGAAGACCTCAAGATCTCAGTCTTAATTCCACTCCTTACTGACTCTGAGTCTTATAATAATACACTCTATAATAATAATATTATGTATAATGTATAATATATAATATTATTATTATAATAAATCCTCTTTCTTAACTAAAATATGGGGGGAATTCTCTATGACTTAATAAGTTACAGTGAGAATCAAGTGTAAAATTACAAACAAATATTGACTCCCTTCAAAACATAAAGAATGATTAACTTTAAAATAGAAACAATGTTATTGGCTTTCTTTAAAATCTTTAGACTATTGCTTACTAAGTCTACTTGGACTCCCATAACAAATGGCATGGACTGTATGACTTGAACAGCAAACATTTATTTCTCAGAGTTCTGGACTGTGAGTCCAAGGTCACTGTTGGCAGGTTTGGTTCTCGGTGAGAGCCTTCTTCCCCTCTTGCAGATGGCCACCTTCTTTCTGTGTCCCTCCATGATGGAGAGAAAGAGTTCCGACGTCTCTTCTTCTAAGATAACCCATCCTGTCGTGGGGCTCTACCCTCATGACTTCATCTAAACCTCATCACCTCTCAAAGGCCCCACCTCCTTCCTAACACCATCACATGAGGGATTAGGGCTTCAACCGATGAACATGCAGCCCATAACATTCACATTAATTCTGGGAGAAAGATGTTACTGCCAGTATTTTGATATCCTCAAGATATCGAGAAGAGAAAATCTCAAAAGGAATTCAGATCATCCATGGCTATAGGGACTATAATTTTGCCATTAACATTTTTACAAGAGGACAAAGGACTCTCAAACTCAAAATTAAAACAGTGAAGCGACCTTTCTTTACCAATTCCATAGGTTTTAAATGTGAGAGCGTGAGATCTCTAAGGCATTACAGATAGCATCCACACCATCTCCTCCCTTTCGTAAGTAGGTTTGTTGACACCACCAAAAGCTGTATGTTTTAGCAATTTGCTGATTATGGGGGTGCCTGAGTGGCTCAGTCGACTGTGTATCTGCCTTCAACTCAGGTCATGATCCCAGAGTCCTGAGATCAAGTCACACATCAGGCTCCCTGCTCGGCAGGGAGTCTGCTTCTCCCTCTGTGCTCCCTCTGCTCCCTCTCTCTCTCTCAAATAAATAAATAAAATCTTTAAAAAAAATGGCTAATTATGTGAACTCAGTCCCAAAATGATGGTCCTTCTTCTATATCATGCCTTTAGTACGTTTAGAGGTATGGTATGCTGTTTAGAGGTTTCCACCTACCATGACTTATGCAGAGGGTGTGTAAGATTTCCTAACATTGTGATCATTCTGTAGAGCAAGCGGGAAGTCATAACAAAGAGTGGCTTTCCCATCCCCTTCATTTAGATGTAGGGCAACTGAGAAGTTTTGCTTCTAGCCAAAGGTCATATAGCTAGGAGGCGGGCTAATGCAGGTGAAAACATGCAGGCTTTGAGTCCTTTAAACCTAGAATGGAACACTTTTCTATCACATTTTAGCTCTGTGACCTTGAGGCAAGAAGTTTTAGTTTCCTAGGCCTTCAGTTCCACATCAGCAAAATGTTAACATTGTAAAGATGAAATAAGTTAACAGATAAAATGCCTGGCACATAATAACATTTACCGCCCCCTACTTCTTTCTTAGTAGCAAATCAAGGGCTAGCAACCACAATTCTTAACTCCTTGTCCATTACACTTCAAGTTGCATAAATAACAATACTGTTTTGAACTGAGAATTTTAAGTGCATTTTTTTAAAACCTTGTTTTCCAAAATCAATCTCTTCACATTTTTAATAATGCAAGAAAGGAGCTTCAAGTTGGCCCACAGAGATTTTTATGAACCAAAGGGTTATTTTTAATTGGATTTTATGCCTGTTGTTATGGAAATAGTTGTTTCATAGATTAAGCATTATGACTTGAGAGCAAGATCAAGCCCAGAATGGGGTATAATGATGATATCACTCCTAAGCTTCTTTTTCTTGACAAAACACTTTTAAAATTAAGAGAACGGGAGTGAAGCTGCTTCAAAAGCACATATTTCTAAGAGAAAAAGTCTTCCCTATAAAAATAGCTTTAACATGATATATTCTCTTTTCAAAGATCAAAACTAAGAATGACCCTTGCTGCCAGTAGGATGCTAAGATTCTGCAGAGTTATTAAGCGCTTCTTTCTGCACTGTTGAAACTAGAAAGAGTTCCTTTGATCGTGGAACTTGCTTTCAACATTTGGTTTCAAAGTTTTTTGTTTTTTGTTTTTTTTTGCAATTGCTGAACTAAGAGGCTTCCTCTAGTTATTTAGTGATCAATCTCTCAAAACTGTTCTGTCTGGACTCGTTTTTATTCATGTATCCGGATGTGTAATTTAACTTTTCTAAAGAAACAAAAAGAGATTATTTCTCATCTTAATGATGTTTTCTTTTAAAGACATGAAGCAGTTCCTCCTGCAAAATTTAGCTTATCTCACTGGTTTGTTTTAAGCCCCAGAGAAACCCCAACCAAGAAAAGCAGAGCTTGCTCCTGTTATATCCTAAGAGAGAAATCAGGATAGCCAGCAATACCAAAAGCAAACAATGATCTGCTGTTGGATGAACTACTGGGGTTCTTCTACTTGGTTCTATTAGTCTGTCTGTCTTTTCTTCTTTTTCTTTCTTTCTTTCTTTCTTTCTTTCTTTCTTTCTTTCTTTCTTTCTTTCTTTCTTTCTTTCTTTCTCTCTTTCTTCTCTTTCTCCTTCTTGGCCTTTTCTATGTCCTCCTATGAGTCTTGGACATTGATTGGTTTTGCTGGTAGAATTTGGTTGAAGAAATTATGAACCCAACCCTGATCCTGAATCTGTTGAAAGTCATGAAACTCAATGATGTCATGTCTTCCATTGTTTTAGCATACCAACACATTTCAGTACTTGGAAAACAGGGGGAAAATCCATCCCCAAATAATGTATCTTTAAAAACGTTTCATTACTTTTTTTCTGTGAATCATAGTGTCAGATTAGTGGAAATACTTTTTTAATTAAAAAATTTCCAGGCATATTAAAGTTATTTTTTCCCTTGCTTTGTTTTTAAGTGGAAGAGGGATGTTTGTCTAACTTTGTCATTTCAGTAATTTCTACAAAACAACTTTCTGAAATGATTTGTCCGTTCCAAGCCAATGTAAACCCATTTGTAATCCATTTGTATGAATTTGCATAGATTCACTGGCAGCTCCTTTCCCAGGTGGTCACATTTCTTGCCTTTTTTTCTTTTGGTCCTCAGCTGGGAGTCCCTGCCCTCTAGTGCTGTTCAGTCTCACTTTTCTTTCTTCCTTCCCACCCAACTCTTAGACCTCAATTGGCTGTGACTTTTTTTTTCATTTCCTACAAGTCAATACTTTTATCTAAACCCACTCCACTAGACTTGGTTTTTAGATGTGACATTCCATAAACTTAAGAATTTGGTGAACACTGGAGGTACATGACACAAGAGTCAAGAGTAGCCATCACACAACCCCGCCCAGTGCAGTCTCCTCACCAGAATCTAGTCGGCTAGTTGCTGCAGCTGAAGATGCTTAGCTAATGACTTATGGTCGGCTCTCTCCCAGAAGTCAGAGGCTACAACACTGCTCTCTGCTTCATTAATAAAAAAGCTATGACTGCAAAGATCAGAGAATTCCCTGGGAAAAACAACAACAACAACAACAACAAGCAAGTGTGTGTAAATTTGGGAGGCTTCCCGATGCTATATTGACTGTGCCTATTTATGACAACAAGGTTCATTCACTTGTCTGATCAATGCATAATGTTAAAGATTCTTCTTAAAGTGTCACACCTGAATGTCTGTTAACTTGTCATTTTCCTTGCTTGCTCTGACTCTAATGGGCTTGAAAATTGATCCAGCCAGTCTCTTCTCTCCTCTCTCTCTCTCTCTCTCTCATTTCTTTCTCTCTTGTCTTTCCTCCCTCTCCCGTGCTTCCCACACCCCTTACTTTGTCTCTTGCTCTCACTCTCTGTGAGGTTCATTTGCTTGACTGATTCTGAGTGTCCATAATGACTGTTTGGCATATTCTACAGGCAAAGGTCCCGAGACCCTTTTTGCCGGCTATAACCTCAATGATAACGAATGGCACACAGTGCGTGTGGTCCGTCGAGGAAAAAGTTTAAAGTTAACCGTGGATGACCAACAGGCCATGACAGGTAAATCCCCCTGTTTCCATTGCTTTTCTTTTGCTGAAGCTTTAGTCCTTCCCATTTCTTACAGGTGACTATGAAAACCAACTACACAACTTGACGCTGGTGCACACAGTTCATTTTTTCGTTCCAATTTTTCCAGCAATGGTGACATTTAATAAGCAGCATGTTAAAAGTTTTTTCTCTCAAAAGAGCAATACTTTCATGTCATGTTCTTTCCTGTAATTAAAGAAGATGTTATATATTTCAGTGTTGTGGCTTGATAAATATCTTAGGGCCTCATAAAATATTGAGGTCATTGTTTACATGCCAATTTCTGTTCAATTTCTTTGTTTTTTATATATTTTGGCAATGAACAGCCGCAAGTTATACTTTTTAGTGTCTAGGGAAATTGATAGATATGCTGGCATTCTGTCGGGTGAACCACTTTTTCATTAGAAGTCTGGCCATTTACCTCAGTTGGTTAAACTCTAATATTAAAGATGTCATGTTCAATCCCTGATATGTAGATTCCTCACTGAGGTGAACTGTATAAAAGTCCACCCCAGGGACTTGGAAACCGAATGAAAGAGGAATTGGTGCACCTTTGTTCTCTCTGCTGAAAATAACTCCAAGCACATGACCCACTGGGATATTAACTCTTTTTCTTTTTTTAGAGAACATCTCTAAAATTATTAATTATTTTAGAACAAGGCACAAGATAGTCCTTGTGCAGCAGGGAAGTGTGTCCTACATTCAGTCCTGAGGGGTTCCCATGATCAGAGCTCAGTTGATTCTATCAATGTGGAAATAGCATGTGTGGGATTTTAACTTTTGAGAGAATCATTTCTGAGTTCAAATGAACCAAACTACCAACTGTTAGCTGTCTTTACTATCTTACATTTCAATAGCCCTTAATGGCTTTCCAGAACTTTTTTCTACAAGTAGGTGCAGCTTTATTTCAGAATCACCTGAAGAGCTTTAAAAGGACTGGTTCCTGGCCTGACATCAGGGAAAGTCTAGGAAGAGCCCAGGAACTGTTGTTCTTTTCATTTTATTGTTGTTGTTTTCTTTTAGGTTTTTTTTTTTATTTGTTTGTTGAAAATCTCTTCAGAGGGGAACTCTCGTGCAGCTGGTTCATGCATTAGCATTTAGAAACCACTACTATGTTATATCATCTTGTTTTCTGAGAAAGAAAATCAACCGGAAAGCTGTTAGCATAAGCCCTTATTCAAAATTGCCGAACATGAGAAGGCTCTAAGGAACTGTGTGAACTTAGGGAAGGAAAGCAGAATTTTTGCTGGGCTTTGGCAGGACTGTCAACTGAAGTTCAGCTAGTTTTGGTTAAGGATGGTTCTTAGAAGAGGAATGAATCGTTTTTGTAGAGTAGCATCCATCATTTGGATGATCTGAGTTTTATCAAAAGGAGTAGAAATGAGGACTTAGTGTCAAAGGTCATGTTCAAGAGATTTTGAATACATAGCTCCTGGAGAGAAGGACATGTGAAAACTACAGGAACATGCGTCAGTCCCTAAGTGTGTCTTAAATCTCACACAGCGCAATGAAATGGACAGGGCATATACATCCTCACTTTACAGATGATGAAACTGAGGTTCAAAGGGGTTAAGTGACTTCTGTTTCTTTGAAATGCCACTGTTGTCAGAACTTAGAGGAGGACCTAGGCTTGTTTATATTGTTGTTTTTGATTTGTTTTTTGACTCATGGTCCATTGCTTTATATTCATTCATATCCTAATAAGTGTATAATTCGAAGACAAGTACCTTCCCAGATACAACATCATGTCACAAAGACACACGTCTAAAACTCAAACAAGAACTGATAGGCTAGAGCAGTAGGTGATGAACGGGATGGTTGACATAAGCCGTTCATGTCCTTGGAGTTCAGAAGAGAAGTTGAGGACCCTGGTTTAAACGGTAGTTTAAGATTACAGATTAAGATTAATTAATCTTAAAATTAAAGATTACATTAGAACTAGTTTTTAAAGAGAGGGTGATGCAGGTGATAAAAGTATGTGGGGGAGCATTCATACAGGGCAGAATGGCTCTGATGGGGCTACACAGACTAATGTTTAGGGGACAGTTTTGTTTTGCTTCATGCATCCATATGGTAGTTGACAGGGCTAGAATGGCCTTTTGGGGCAAATGGGTCAATGCTCTCAACTAAGGTGTTTATTTTTCATGGACCTTCAGGCAATTGGAAAGCTTGAGAGTAAGCTGAGAGAATATTTTTTGAGCAAAATAAATCCTGTGTCAGTGTATTAGATTGCTTCAGGATGTAGAGTCATAAGTCCTGAACTATAGTGGATGAAGAAAGGGTAGAAACAAAAGTATGGTGTAACACATTTTGTTAAATTTTATTTAGAAATAATTTCAAATTTACAAAAAAACATTCAAAAATAAATACAGTACTAGGGCACCTGGGTTGCTCAGTCAGTTGAGCGACTGACTCTTGGTTTTGATTCAGGTCATGATCTCAGGGTTGTGGGATTGAGCCCCGCTTTGGGCTCCACACTAAGTGAGGAGTCTGCTTGTCCCTCTCCCTCTGCCCCTACCCCCACTCATGCTCACTCTCTCTCTCTCTCTCAAATAAATAAATAAAATCTTCTAAAAAATTAATTAAAAAATTTAAAAAAATAAAAACAGTACAAAGAACACTGATATATCTTTACTCTTGTGAACATTGTATCCCATTTCCTTTGACATTTTCACTTTCTCTCCTTTTTTCTTTCCGTAACCAGTTGAGCAAAAACTAAATACAAAATGGCTATTTACCCCTAACTACTTCAGAGTGCATTTTCTAAAAATAATGATAATCCCCTACATAACAAAGAGTTACGAACTTCAGTAAAAGTTGCTTGGATGCAATATATTTTATCCGTTCGGTCATCCATACTCCAATTTAGTCGGTTGACCCAGTGTTGTCTTTTATAACATTTCCCTTCCAGCACAGTATGCAGCCTGGGGTCAGACACTGCATATAGTTTTCAGGTCCCTTTAGCCTTCTTTCATCTGAAACATTTCCATCGGCTTTTTTTTTTTTGTCTGCCATGACATTGACATTTTTGAAATCTATAAACCTCCCACCTTTTGTCACTGTAGAGTCACTCATCTTGTGTTTGATGTTTTCTCGTGATTAAAGTTGGGTTTTGCATTTTGGGGTGGAATATTGCATAGGTGTCATTGTGGCCCCCTTCCAGTATCCCATCTGAAGGCATAGGGTGTCCCTGTCCTTGACCGGTGATTGGTCAACATTCTGTCCAGTTTCTCCACTGCATGAAGAGTAGGTTTTCTCCCTTGCCACTAATAAACTGTCTGTGGAGAGAGGTTAAGACCATGAAAATAGCCTGTACCTCATCAGAAGTCCACCCTAGATTTAGCATCCACTGAAGATTTTTCTCCTGATCCAGTCTTCCCTGCGGTAGTTACAAAATGATTATTCTCCACCTCCAGTACTTCTTTTTTTTCTTTTCCTTCTTTTCCTTTTTTTCCTTTCATTTTCCTTTCTCCCTTCCTTTTCTCTCTCCTTTCTTTCCACTCATCCTTCCTTCTTTCCTTCCTTCATTTCTTCCTATTGGTATGGACCCACAAGTTTCTGTTTTTCAAACAATTTAAATTACTTTACTAAATTATTTTGGGCCAGTGTGAATCCCATGAAGTTGGTCTTTGTCATATTGTGACATGCCCCACCCCAGCATTTTCAGGGTTTTTTTTTGTTTTTGCTTGTTTGTTTTTGCCCTTCCTTACTTTCTGCCGTGACAGGACATTCCAGGCCCAGCTTATACCTACCTTACCCAAGCCCTGGAATCAGCCCTTCAGTCTTCATTTAGTCACGAATGATATTATAGACCAAGATCTGGGTGGTTGGTGTGCTCGATGCTCCTCAAGTATATTTGTTTCCTGATCCTTTCAGCAGGCAAAGATAGGAAATATATTCAAGTATCTACACCTACCTGCATATAGATATAAATATACACACACTGAACTAAAGAATGTTCCTCTGTGGTTTTCACCTGTCCTTGTTGCCAGCTGCTATGTGTTCACAACCTTTCGCATGTTACCTTAGGTACTAACTCCTTATTTCTACTCGTTTTGATAAAACCTAAATCATCCAAACAGTGGATGCTAATCTACAAAAAAATACATGTAGACATAGACACGCATATACGCATATTTTAGAAAATACGAGTTCACAGTGGTACCTCCATCTCGACATCATTGTTTCTTCACTTCCCACATTCTGTGTTTCCGTGTTCCTTCTACGGTGGGATCCTTGCTCCCAGGGATATCACTTACTCACGCCACATCCAACAGTGAATCTAAAATAGTTTCAGGATTACTTGAAGTTGCCCATACTACTACAAGTAATGCATCAACTAAAAAAAATTCAGGATTAGTTTGTGATTCTTATTCCCCAGTGCCTAAGACTTAACAGATAAAATCAAATGCTGAGTTTATAAGTAACTTGGATGATAACTTGGCTTGTTTTCTTCCTTCCTTCTCTCTCTCCCTCCTTTTTTTTAAATTTTCTTCCTACCTTTCTTTCTTTTAGTGTAGTTATAGTGTTCATTTGAAATACAGTTAATTTATTTCAATTTAATTTTTCCTTCCCATTCTTATGTACTTACACTTGGAAGTATGTACATTAGCATGCTTTTAAAATCAGTGCAACACATTTTGAATTAAGTGATGAATGAAGAGAGTGCGAATATGATCAGTGTAACATAGAAAATTCTAGAAATGGCCCCTAAATGAATTGCCATCTATATATTTTCAATTGCATAGATTCCTATTAAGATTCTAAGTGAACGGCTATGTTCTACCTCAGTGAATTGCCTTCTTCAACTTTCAACTTTCAGTGAATACATCATTCCTTTGTTTACTTAAATGGCCATGCATTTATCTACCACCAGCGATCATAATGTTAGGAAACAGAATTAACAGATGCTTACTTAGTTTGCTTACAGATGTAGGAACAAACGAGTGACCTAGTCAATGGAGGAACTCCCA